CAGAGTCAATTTTAACTTCACAGCGAAGGATATTGGACTCAAAGCGACACAATTTGCTCGAGAGTTGATTTCAACTTCAAGACGAAGGATATCTAGCTCGAAGTCAAACTTCATAACAAAGGGGTCATCCACGGTTTCAACTTCAAGACAAAAGGAATCGTGTTCACCCGCAACATACAATACTTGGATTTTAACTTCACGACGAAAGATATTCAAGTCAAGGCTCAACTTCACGACGAAGGGGCCATCCATGATTTCAACTCCACGACGGAGGATATTGTACCCACACATCCACGATTTCAACTCCACGATGGAGGATATCGTGCCATTTTGAGGCTCAACTTCACGACGAAGGGGCTTCCCAGTTTCAGAGCCAATTTCAACTTCACAACGAATGATATTGGACTCGAGACATCACAAGTTCAACTTCACAGCGAAGGGACGGCTGGTTGTCAACAAACAATTTCCCAGTTCCAGAGCCAATTTCAACTTCACCGCGGAGGATATTGGACTCGGAACAATACAACTTACTTGGATTTCAACTTCACGACGAAGGATATCCAATTCCTGGCTCAACTTCACGGCGAAGGGGTCATCCACAGTTTCAACTTCACGACGAAGGGAATCATACACACAAGCAACATCCATCTCCAGATTGGATTTCAACTTCACGGCGGAGGATATCCAACTTAGAGAAGGAGTGTCTGTCAACAAACTTTCCAGTTTCGAAGTTAATTTTAACTTCACATCGAAGGATATTAGCCTCGAAATAGCATACTAGATTTAAACTTCACGACAAAGGATATCCAATTCCAAGGCTCAACTTCACAACGAAAGGGCCATCCACGGTTTCAACTTCACGACGAAGGGAATCGTGCTCACCATTGTCTCTCTTGAGACAGTTTCCAAGTTTTGTCTCTCTTGAGACAGTTTCCCTTGAAACAAAATCTTGTCTCTCTTGAGACAGTTTCCCTTAAAATAAAATATATTTTCCTTGAAACAAATTTCGTCTCCCTTGAGATAGTTTCTTTTAGAACTAAGATTTTCTTAAGACAGTTTCTTTTGAAACAAATTTTGTCCCTCTTGAGACAGTTTTTCTTGAAACACAAAAAAATCTCTAAATTGTTTCTCTTGAAAAAAAAACCTTTGAAAATGTTTCTCTTGAAACATCAAACCTTCGAGTTCGACTACGCTCAGCTTCAAGGCACATCATTTACAGCATAACTTAAGGCTAGAAGGGTTATCTGCCAACAAAGACCTTCGAGTTCGACTACGTTTAGCTCCAAATCACATCATTTATAGAATAACTCAAGGCTAGAAGGGTTATCTGACAACGAAGACCTCCGAGTTCGACTCCACTCAGCTCAAAGGAACCATCATTTGCAGTATAGCTCAAAGCAAGAAGGGCTATCTGCCAAAGACCTTCGAGTTTGATTCCATTCAGCTCAAGGGCGTATCAACCGCATTGCATTAGGAAGGAACTACTTTCCGGTCAATTTTTACACCCAGGTCTTTAAATCGAGAAGAAGACCAAGGTCGACCAAGATTGGCAACAAAGAGTCACTTTTCGATTTACTCACGATTTCAAACTTCAAGAAGAAGGATATTGCGCCCAATGGATCGATTTAGTGTCACAACAAACACTATCAAGTCTCAAATCAAAGAGAACCGGACAAAAACTAGTTGTCTTTTTCATCTTTACCCTATTATTGTTAACACAAAAATGTGCAAAGAGGGCCAGTTGTAGACACCAGTTTTTGTCTGGGTCTACAAAAATATTTTATTTTATTATATTATATTTATTTATTTATTATTATTACTAATATTTTTTATTTTATTATTTTTGTAGGCCCCACACTCAACAACCCTGATTTAGTAAGATTCAAAAAATAAATCAACATATTTGAGTCTTATTAAAACACTAAAACCAACGTATTTGAGTCATATTGAAACACTAAAACTGAAGCATTTGAGTCCAAGTAGGACTCTAAATCTGAGCTAAAAATAGGTTTCTTTAGACTATAAATAGACTCAAGCATCAAGAGGAAAGGACACAGAGAAAAACGTGGAATCAAAATCAGAGGAAGGGGCAACGATTTGGAAAAATCGAGGGAAGAAAAGGACAAAAATAAGCGTGGAGGATCCAAAGCCAGTATCTAAAAGCACGAAGAGTGGCAGAACATTTTCATTGCAAATCCAGTTTCTCTACACGCAAAACATGGGAGATGTAACAAATTTTGTCTTATTCTTTTTATTTCATTGTTTATTTATTTACTTTATATATATTTTTCATTTTCTCCTAATTTTAATATTTTTATTTCTTTTTACATTGTTATATATATATATTTATTTATTTATTTTTTATTAATATTATTATATTAATATTTTTTATTATTTTTTTCTTATGTTTATTTTCATTCAATCCAACACTTTTGACTTTTTAGGGATACTTTCAATTGATCAAAGGTAATTAATTCAATTAAATTTTTGAATTTCAATTTAAATTTAAATTTTCGCAAATAAAGACAACCGGAAAATTAATTGGTACCGAAAGGGCAGTTCAAGAGTGCTAATCCTTCCTTGACCGTAACCGACTCCCGAACCCGACACGTTTCTGGTACAACGCAGATCAGGTAAGATGGTGTCTGACCCACCTAAATTTGTTTTAAAGTGGTCAGTGGCGACTCTAACCCAAATTCATTCAAGTCGAAGCCCAATTCCTAGGTCCAACTGAAAGACGGTTCCGACAGAGATTATTAAAATAAAAATTTTACCACCTTTTGAGGGATCAAGGCTTGAATATATCATTTTCCTTCAAGTAAATAATTTAAGGGTAAAGTAGACAACTGGTCCTCCAACTATAAGACGTTATTTTGTTGAATCTCCCGACTAGAGGATGCTGCCTTGTAAAGCCCATCGACTATTAAAAGTTATAAAATGGTCATTCGACTATGGGGTATTGATTTGTTGAGTCCTTCAACTATTAAAAGTTACAAAATGCTCACTTGACTATTCATATATTTCAAATTCATCCATTTTCGTTAAAAATTGATAGTCGTCTGAGTTGGATGTTAACTTGCTGACTGAGATATGGCAAAATCATATTTTAATAATATCTACTGACACCGTCGTTGCTTTCAAACAATGGCTTGACGTCATAATATTGGAAGCACTTGCTCGATGACATAATGTAAACGGGGAGTCGATCCATAAAATACAACTCAAACAGTTGTGATCAAAATTTATCATATATTGGTTAACAAGTTAACGTATAGCTTATACTGTAGCCAACTTTTGAACAGGAAATGACAAGTTTAAAACATATAAATAGTCGAATGACCATTTTATTACTTTTAATAGTCGATGAACTCAATAATATCCCATAGTCATAAAATAATATTGTAACTTTTAATAGTAATAAGAGTCAACAAATCAATGTTAAAAACATTTCCTACCATTAGTATACTTTACCCATAACTTAAATTAGTTAACGCGTCAGATGGCTCAGTTACAAGTCGGATTAATTATAGATTAAATAGTTTTTAAAAATATATAATTAATATTATGATAGGGAATGTTTCCAAGAGTTGAAGGATTGAAGAGATAAATAAACTCCAAGGTGAAATAGTATTACTTAAAAATCAATGCCATGTGCTTAATATATGAGACTAAATATATTTGATTTTTCTTGTTGGAAATATAAATTTTCCTTTTCCTCGACATCTGAGGCAAAGGTTAATTCTTTCTTAGTCTTCACGTTTTTTATTGTGTCGGAAGGTCATCTTTGTGGATAAAAAGGGGGCAACTTTTCAATATCATTGAAATATTTTAAAAAATCTCAAGGTTATTATTGTGCAAATTTAGGATGGTCATGGTTAGGATTTTAGCTATTCAAATTAGATTTGAGTATTATATCAATATTTAATATTTAATTTGATTTAAGTTTAAAAGGATTTTATTTGATAAGTGTCGGCTTGTAAATTATAGAGAGGCTGAAGCCCAAATTTTGTCCAGGTTTCTTTTTCTTTTTATGATACATGTTTCAACTTTATAAATAATAAAACATGTAAAAGTCAGCTTTTGCATGAAGTTGTTTGGAGGGTTCCTAATTTTGGAAGCCTTGCAAGTTGGTCCTTGCTGGAAGGCAAAAAAGAAGTGGTACCCTCCCATTTGCTTTGTCATGCAATTGGGACCACTGTCCCGTTTACTTTTCAAGGTATGGGGCAAATAATCATCTTCTAGAAGCACCGTGTTTATTTTTCAAGGAAATATATATATTTATATGTAAAATCTTATGTCACATGTAAATTATTAAAGATTTTTCTTAAATACAATGAATAGTTTATTTGAAACATTTTGTAAACAATCTATTTCCATGAATATCACCATCACTTTTTGACATGCTTCATCAAAGCCCTGCAACACCTCATTTTCGATGCCCGGATGATGCCATGAGAACACTAACATCTACAATGAACATAAACAACATCCCGGAAAGCAATACGTATGTTCTCCGTGACGATTTCCGGTATTCTCCGAACAATAGCATGCCCCAAAATGTGCTCACAAGTGGAAGTGCCTAATACCATCACCAACAATATATATGAAGATTGATGTCATGTTATGTTCTTTTTTTTGTTGTTGTTGTATGGTCTTTAAGATGAGGCTACAAGTACCTGAACAGAACCTGCAGCCGCATACTTTGCTGCCTGGCCTCCCATGAACTGGAGACCGTTCCCGAACCCACACAAAAACCCGGCTAGGAAGGCCCAGCCTCTGCCGTTCCAGTCATTGAGATAAGCTTTGAATGATGATTTTGGTGCGCTTAACACGGGGCGGTAGAGGAAGGTGATGTTAAGGACAAGAGCCAGCACGAAACAAGACACCGAAAAGTAAAAAAACGACGTATAGACAACTAAGTGTGGAACTCCTTCCAAAGTGTGCCATTGATAATTTGTTGCCAAGTTGAAAGATGGTGAGAAGAGCAGATACCAGCGAAGAAAGTTGTCGATATACCGATTAAAGTGCTCTTCCCGAACACCTGCAATGTGGTTCAAACCAATATCAACATATATAATATTGCAACATGGCATCTAGAACCTCGAAAGTCCGACCTTAATCGCTCTCCGGTTCTCGAGATCTAAAAGGAATTATGTGGTGCCGACCTTTGCCTTCTCTGTAGTGCTGTTCCCAGTCTCCAGATTATTTAGTTCTGTTTACTTAATCGAAGGAGTCTCATAATAAGACGTGAGCAGCAAGTAACAAGGCAATATAATAGAGCTTTGTTCCCTCATTTGTGATTGCAACTTTCAATGTGGTGGAATATCCAGCCCTGGCAAAAGAACAGATATAACAAAGTATCGTATACAGTTCGTTGTTGTTGATAAATCGGGCAAAGTAAACGAAAGAACACAAGAATTTTAACGAGGTTCGGCAATATGCTTACGTCCTCGGTGCCTAGGCGGCGCTAGAAAATTTTTATTCAATGATAATAGGTTTAGGTTACATCTCTATTTATAATAGAAAACTCTGGTACATAATTACAAAATCAACCCTGTACCATACCGCGGGGCGCAGCCCCCGCACCCCCAACCCACATAATCGTAACCCCCTCTACAAGACTTTCTTTGTAAGGACAGTTGATGTTCGCTGTGTTCGCTTCGCTCACTCCGCTCCATCCCCTGTCCTCTTTACCGGTATATTTATGAGCCATTCCTTACAAATCTCCACCTTTGCGAATATCCTGCCCCTTAGGAAACATTCAATGTGGGTTGGGTTACCTTACTTCTTTAACAACTTGAAACATTCAACAAGTCCAAGCAATACTTGAACTTGTCTGTTGTAACTGGCTTGGTGAACATATCAGCGCCATTCTCATCAGTGTGTACCTTCTGAGACAAAATCTCTCCAGATGAAACCAACTCTCTGATCTTGTGAAAACATACATCAATGTGCTTAGTTCTAACACGATATACTTGATTCTTAGCTAAGTGAATAGCACTTTGATTGTCACAGAGCAGCTGAACTCCACCTTGCTGAACACCCAACTCCTTCACTAAACCAGTGAGCCATAAAGCTTCTTTTGCAACTTCAGCCGCTGCCATGTACTCAGCTTCAGTTGTAGATAGTGCCACAACAGATTGAACAGTAGACTTCCAACAAATAGGTCCTCCACCAAGAGTAAAAACATACCCTGTCGTAGATCTTCTATTATCCAAGTCACCTGCATAGTCTGAATCCACATATCCTACAACCAAAAGGATTATCTCATTGACTACCAAAAACAATTCCATGTCCCACAGTACCCTTTAAGTACCGAAAGATCCACTTGACTGCATCCCAATGTTGCTTACCAGGTTTAGACATCTACTTACAAACTTGACTAACAGCATGAGCTAAATCAGGACGAGTACATACCATTGCATACATCAAGCAGCCAAAAGCATTAGAATACGGAACCTTTGCCATATCTTCAGCTTCCTTTTCTGTCTTAGGACACTGTTCTGATGAGAGCTTAAAGTGGTTCGCCAATGGAGTGCTAACTGGTTTTGCGCTGCTCATCGCAAATCTTTCTAGCATTTTTTTAACATAACCCCGTTGAGATAGCCACAGTTTCCTTGAGTTTCTGTCCCTGCAAATTTCTATTCCAAGAATTTTCTTTGCAGCACCTAAATCTTTCATATCAAATTCCTGACTCAATAAAATTTTCAAACCGATAACATTATCCATGTTCTTCGCAGCAATCAACATATCATCAACATACAGTAATAGAAAAATAAAAGAACCATCATCAAGGCTCTTAACATAGACACAACAATCATACTCACATCGGTTGTAGCCAATCTTGATCATATAGGAGTCAAACCGTTTATACCACTGTCTCGGAGACTGTTTCAACCCGTACAAAGATTTCTTCAATCTGCAAACTAAATGCTCATTTCCAGGGTTGAGTGAAACCTTCAGGTTGCCGCATGTAGATCTGCTCCTCTAAATCACCATGCAAAAAAGTAGTTTTAACATCCATCTGCTCTAAATGCAAATCCCAACTGGCCACCAATGCAAGTACTGCTCGGATTGAAGTGTGTCTGACCACAGGAGAAAAGATTTCATCATAATCAACTCCTTTCTGCTGTGAAAAACCATTTGCTACCAAACGAGCCTTGAACTTCCCCCCTCTTTTTTGTTACTGCTGGTTTCTTCTTATACACCTATTTGCAACCAATCGGCTTTTTACCCTCAGGAAGGGGAACCAACTCCCATGTACGATTGTGATTCAAAGACTCCATCTCCTCAACCATGGCTGCCATCCACTTGTCGTTTTCCTGACTAGTAACAACATCATGAAAAGTAACCGGATCATCACTGCTAACAATAAGCGCAAAAGAGACCAAGACTTCAAAACCCAATATACTCGGAGGCTTTATATTCATCCGTCTCACTCTGTCTCTGGAGAGACTATAATCCTGCAAATCATCCGTAGTGGAACCACCAGAAGTCGGTTGAGACGTTTCTGGTTTCTCAACTGGAAACTACTCGAAATCCACCACTGTCGTGTCTTTCTTCTGTTGCAACATGGATTGTTCATCAAAAACAACATCTCTATTGATCACAATTTTCTTCGCAACTGGATCCCAGAACTTGAATCCTTTGACACCTTTCTTGTAACCCAGAAAAATGCACTCATTAGATTTTTGCATCAAGTTTGGATCTCTCATCAGCAGGTACATGCACATAAGCAGGACAACAAAAAATCCGTAAGTTATCAAAACTAACATCATGACCAGTCCATACCTCTTCTACAACTTTCCCAAGCAATGATGCCCTTGGTGATCTGTTGATAAGATAACACGTGTTAATAGCCTCGGCCCAGAAGTGTTTGGGAAGCCCCGCATTCAATCGCAAACATCTGGCTCTTTCATTCAACGACATGTTCATCCGTTCAGCAACATCATTCTGTTGTGCTGTCTTGCGCACTGTAAAATGTCTCTTAATCCCGTGCTCCTTACAGAAGTGTAAGAACTGTGAATCTGTGTACTCCGTACCATTGTCAGACCGCAAACACTTGATTTTTCGTCTTGTTTGGTTTTCTACCTCTCCTTTCCACAGCTTGAACTTCTCAAAAACTTCATATTTCTATTTCAAAAAATACACCCAAACTTTCCGTGAAAAATCATCAATAAAAGTAACATAATACCTAGATCCACCCAAAGACGATGTCGTGGAAGGCCCCCATACATCAGAATGCACATAATCAAGAATCCCTTGAGTTGTATGCTTCGCAGTTTTGAAACGGACTTTAGTCTGTTTACCAAGAACACAATACTTGCAAAAATCGAGCTTACAACTTTTGACACCATGCAACAGATTTCTTTTGTGTAATTCTGTCATACCACGTTCACTAAGATGAGCAAGACGCATATTCCACAGTTTTGTAGTATCATCACAGGACTCAACAGAATGAACTCCACCTGCAACGGTACTCCCTAACAATCTATAAATATTTCTTGCAGTCATCTTTCCTTTCATCACAGTCAAAGCATGTAACATCCTCCATGTCGGGTGAGTGATTAATTTGTAAAGTTTCAACATTTGGTGATTAAAGTAGAATAATTATATAGTTTAAAAAGTATGGTTAGTAAATATGAGATGGAAGTAAGGACCAAATGGTCATTTGTAAGGAAATTTTTATTAAAATAAAATGTTATGGGGGTTATATGAGAACCCACGTGTAACATTAGGTTTCCAGAATCCTCCCATTTCTTCTTCTTTCTTCCTTATTTTCTTCTCTTCCTTCTCTCAACGTGGAGCTTGCAAGTAAAGGTAAGAATCTGAACCTTGGTAGTTTCTTTGATTTTTAAGATTGGAAATGAAAGTTTGGATGTTATATAAGCTAAAGGAAAGCTTATATGACATTAAAACAACAAGATAAGTGTTTTAGAGATAGATTTGGAAAATGAATTTTTAGATGAAATTTTGATATGAATGAGTTTTTGAAGTTTGAATAAGATTTTTGACTTGTCAAGAAGTTAACTAAGAAGTATAAGGTGTTAGAATTCAAATTAGAACATATTGGAATTTGGGTTAGATTCTTAAATTCTACATGGAGAATTAGATTTCTAAGTTTTAGAGGTATTTAATGGATAATAATTAGTTAAAGTAAGTGTATGAAAGCTAAGAGTAGTAAAGAGAGTGAAATATGTATGTTTGAGCTGAAATGGGATGAATTCCGAGCTCAAAATAGGATTTCTGGGTTAGGGGAATCGGTACCCATTCAAGGGGAACCGATACCCCTCAACAATATGAATTTCCAGAATACTAGAGGGGAATCGATACCCCCAGGGGGGAACCGATACCCCCTCAACGGATATGAAATTCCAGAATGCTAGAGGGGAACCGATACCCCCAGGGGAACCGATTCCCCCATGAGAAAAAAAAGAGAAGAAAAGAAAGAAAGACTAAGCTATTAATTTCTTAAATTAATAAGCTATTAAAGCTTAATTTCAAGACATAGACATCTAATGATCATCTTGAAAATTATGTTTATGTAGATACCGAGCCTACTCGAGTTCGGGAACAATCTACAAGTAGGATCGATCGAGGAAAAGGCAAAGAAGTATAGGTGAGTGCATATGCATAGCATGATTATAGAAATATCCTGCATTCTAGACTTGTGATAAGTCTAGATTTTATATCTTGATACATGAGCATATTCTGTATTATGAGACATGACATGAATCCATAAAAAAAATGCATTATATGACATGAATATGTGGGAAAAATTATGAGCTATGTGAAAAGGTAAGAAATTTCATGTCTACGCGATATAGACTACGTGAAATGTAAAAGCCCATGTTATGTAGATGAGAACTATAGGTATAGTTGGCATGCCAAGGGTAGAGGGTCTACGCGGTTCTTTAGGACATATGTATATCCTTTGGAACATGTGTGAAGTCTTGAAAGACACATACTTGATCCCTAGTATATGTATATGATTCTTAAGGAATTCTATGTGGTCCTTATGGACATCATTATATGGCACTACGGTGCAATTCTACGCGGTTCTTTAGGACATATGTATATCCTTTGGAACATGTGTGAAGTCTTGAAAGACACATACTTGATCCATAGTATATGTATATGATTCTTAAGGAATTCTATGTGGTCCTTATGGACATCATTATATGGCACTACGGTGCAATTCTACGGGGCACTTCGGTGCATTTATACGAGCTGTGGTGACAGCATAGTGCACAACCTCACATTACTCCGATACCTTGGGTTCTCAATATGCTATCATGGGCCAATAAACTTATTAATACAGATTCATGAATG